CCACATCCTCACTATAGAAAATATGAATAAAATCATTCAACTTCTTTCTCAGTTGTTAAAATTGGATGTGGGTGTGCATCTTCAGTCAAGACACTCCCACACCCAGATATGTCTTTCATTATCGGATAGTCTATATAAAACATGGAAAATGTTCTGTTTGATCGACATTTCTTGATTAATTGTCAAATCGAAGCGAATATTATATCAATAAATTAGAAAAGTTCTGAAATAATGAAGAAAAATTGATTATTGATGCATTCGTCGCCACCATCGTCTGAATGTTTCTTGAAATGTTTTTCTGTATAGATCTGAAGGAAGGACAAAGACAACAAAGATAAGCATCGATGGAGTAAATGAAATGAAATAACCTAATAGAAATAACCAACGATTATTCGATGGATTGACACATTCAGATAACATTGACATAATCACACGAGGCAAGGACAGAATTAGAAGAACAGTCGGACTAATTAATAATTGTTTGTGTTCCTTAAATTGCTCATAAATATGTTCTTTTAGATTTAACCTTTTCTGAGCTGTTGATCGTTGTCGAGCTGATCCAAATATGATGAATAAAGCAGAACAAAGATTGACAATACATGGAGCCACAAGATGAAAAAATAGAATGATTGTATTGTATTGTTGAACAAGGGGAGAATAACGAGTTATACACCATCTAGTGATATGCATTCTGTTTGTCTCTGTCTTCATTTTATATAATTCTCGATATATAGGTTCGTGAATGATTGAACCCATGATACAGAATGGTAAGATAACAATCATCCATCGAGCAATGCGTCGACTTTTTTGTTTATTGAATGCGATTCCTTTGAAAACGAGAATCGCTCTTTCAATGGCTACACACGCATTGAGCCAAGCATCCAAATAAAGACAAAGCTTGAGAAGAGGTTCGATCGATAGACAACCTCCTCGAACAACAGAAAGACGAATCGATAGATCCATCTGAGTGAGAACAACAAACCAAAACTTCACTGTAAACATACTGATCGTAAGAAAAGAAGTAATTGACGATGCCAAGAGATAGATGCCACATCCAGATTTTCGTAGATCTTTATCTTGGAATGTTAGTAAAGACAAAATACTATTAATTAAACCTCCAACAAACATAATCATGGTTAAAGCGATACTGAATTTTATCAGTACTGTTTGATCAGTCAATGTCATGTTCGATCGGATTTCGTCACGCAAAATATCATCAAGAGTGATACCAATACTCTTTTTGTAGAACCGACATTTTTGGCCAATGAAACAACTGGCCAGAATTTGAGCTAAAGAAAGTCACGATTAGCAAGAGATAAGATCAATCTTTCTCAACTTAACAGAACCATGTCGGAGTAAATTTATAAGCAACAATAGTCTATCAAAATCACTTGTCTATACATGATATGTTGTGTCGATATTAGATTTATATATTTCTATTTTCTGTTTAATATCTCATGATGAATTTACTCATTTTTGTAAAGATATTTCTGCATATGAACTCGATAAATTTTCAAAGACTGCAAACTAATAAAATCTCAGATAGTCTGAAATCGCAAGAGAAAAGCTGCATGAGTTTTTACAACTGGTTGAACTCATACAATTTATCTAATCCCGGCTAAGCTACAGTATTAAGACTTGATCTTGTTTGGTTGGAAGAAAACTGTTCGATTGCAAAAGGAGGAATTCCTATGTGATTCAATTTTTGATCAATAATCTTATTGAATTATACAATCTATTTGAGCTTCTGAGATTATTTATTTCTGAATAGTGGAAATGGAGTCCAGTGGGATGTTGTAATTCTCTGCTAACGATTTACAAATAATACAAATTACTTACCGTAACGATTAAGAATGATAGTATTTATACCAGTTGTCAGAATGGAAAAGTTTCCTGTCATATTTGGAGAAGATGTTGTTACCACTAATATGTATTTAGTGTCAGTGTGAAGATAAACGATGAATTTGAAGTCTGGAGAACTACATGCTCGATAATCCTGTGAGAGTAGATTCTCGAAAGGATTCATTGGATTAAAATCATCTTTGTAAATATCACCAAATGTATCTATACTGCTATCATCAAAAATATCTATACTGCTATCATCAAAAATATCCATACTGCTATCACTACTTAAAGCATAGTATCCAGTTTCCACTACATTCATTCGTATAGTTTCATAGTAATAATTTGATTTTCGACAATCTCGAGAATATGTTTGACTATTTGTTGTCAGCTGTAATGAATATTTTGATTTTACAGCATCTGGATATGGTATTTCGATGACTGATGGAGAACCTATGTAATGAAAATAAAAATAACGATCGAGATTTGTGATAGATTTTGATGGTCTGGATGTAAAAAAGAAAATTGAGCATCATAAGTCATCTATTATATACTCTGACTATTGAAAGGTATGTCAAAGCTGAGCCTAGCTTTCTGAAGAGACGACTCTCTGTACTATCACTCTCAATGAAATAGTTAAGTCTTAAATAGAGAGTGCGAATAGAATCTATAAACATTTTTCTGTACTCGAATCCTCGAAAATATGTCATGAATGAGCTTGGAATATTTTCTTTTTTTCGAAAATAAATGATGCCCCAACATTTTAGATAATAAAAATGGTTTATTTATAGTCTAATTCTCCTACTATCGTAATTTATTCAAAAACTAAAGTACGTAAAGATATTGTTTAGATTCATACAAAATAAGAATATGTTTATATTTTTTATCTATGATACATTATATTTAAATATTTGCAGCATTTTCTTATTATAGGAACATTGAGTGATGGGACATGTTGTAATAAAAAGCAAAATTTTTTTCATTTCACGGTCACGAGCAGAAATTCATGCCAATTTGTACATTATTTACATAAGATTGGTGATCGATTGAAAGAAGTCTGTATTCAAGGAAATTAATCTGATCCTATTCACAATATTCTGTTATTTGATAGATTTAATGTAGCTGTTTGTGTAAAGCTTTCTTCTTATAATACAAATGTCATCTTACAAAACAAGTTTTTATGTTTGAATATGCCAAACTCAACTAAGTACTCAT